TTTGGGGTCCGCCTCCGCCGTGGCAGCCGTCGCACCGTGCTGGTGCCGCTCGGTGCTTGTCGCGGTGTTGCCCTGGTGTTGGGGTTTGCTTCCCGCGTCACCGGCGCGTGGCTTTGCCTTGCAGCTGGAAGATGCTCGCCCGGCTCCTCCCGGCCTCAAGGAAGACCAAGGTGTGTGCTGGGAGTGGGGCCCGGGGGTCTCTGCGCTGCCGCGGCCGCCGGGGCGTGTCCCCACACACGCGGCCACCGTGTCACATCTCCCCTCAGACTTGGACTCCCAGGTTTTCTCCGCGGGGCTGGGGACCATCCTGAGACCCAACGAGCCCAAGTCCCGCTCCTACTTCCAGAGCGTCTCTGTCACCAAAGTGACTCTGCCTGACGGGGTGAGTGTCTCCGCGGGTGCCTGAAGGGGGTCGAGGTCGGGGGTTCTGAGGGCTCGGCACTCCGTGCAGGCAGTGGAGGAGCGTCGCACCGTGCAGGACAGCCAGGGCCGCCGGGAGACCACGGTGACGCGCCGGAGGGGGGACCAGGCCTTCATCGCCACCACCAAGGAGGACGGGCAGGGCAAGGACTACCGGGAGGAGGTGCTCAACATGGACGACCGTGAGTGGGGGGCGGGGGAGGGCGCGAGGGGCGGGAGGCACCCGGCTGAGGGGGCTCTCCCTGCCTCTCCAGGGGAGCTGGCGCAGTTTGCAGACTCGTGGCCGCGGCGGGACGAGCTTCGCCCTCCCAATCCGAGCGACCCGTCCTCTGTCCTGAGCAGCTTCCTCCGACACTGGTTCTCCAGCTGGTAGCTGTGCCCGGCCCTGGCTGAGCACCCAGTATGTCTGACATGTGCAGGGGCGATGGACCCCGGGGCTCCCCAGGGTCGTGGGGACGGCTCAGGGGCTGAGGCTGTCGAAGTGGACACTGGGCAGCAGCGTCTTCTCACCACCTGGTTTTGTTGTAGGTGGATCAGATCCTCCTGGGAGTTGGCACCTGGCCTGGGGGCTGCCTTCCTTCAGGAGTGCTGTGGAGCCACAGGAACCCCCGTGGGGGGCCAAATGTGCGTGCGTGTACAGAGCAATAAAGTCTATTTATGCTAAACAGTGACCTGCTCTGCTCCTTCAGGCTGGAATCTCGTGGGTCTGGAAGCAGATTTGCCCTGGCTGCCAGGGTGGCTCTTGGGGGGCTGCCTGAGGGATGCAGGTGGTTGCCAGACTCCTGTGCCTGCACTGCTCCCTGCTCACCTCCCTCTCCTATTTCACTGCCTGGTGCTGAGCCAGGGCCTCTTCATTAGCACTGACTGCAGCTGCAGCTTGGGCAAGGATGTGGTGGGAGAAGGGGGCTCCTGGCTGGGAAACGCCTGTGCCCACTCACCTGAGTGAGGTCAGGGCTCCCTGTGGCTGGTTGGGGATCTGACCTGGCCCTACTGAGGTGCAGCATTGTCACAAGGTGTCCCAAGGTTCCCCAGCCCCACGTGGGACTCCGGTCCCTGCCAGGTGTCTCCCTCGGTGTGGCCCTGATTGGTTTAAAGTCTACACATTATCACCCACCTGGCCCCAGAGCTCATAAAATCCATTGGGATCGAGGCACTACTGTCACTGCTGCCACCGCTGTCACAGCTGCCCCTTCCAAGCTGGCACCATGGGCTCTGCTTCCTTCTTGACTAGGGTCCGGCGTCTGCTCCGAATTCGGAACCAGCTGATACGGGAATGCCTGGCTGAGCTGCTCTGCACCTTTGTCCTCATTGTGAGCGGGGCTGGGCTTGGCTGTGGGGGGCAAACGGGGGGGCTAGGGCTGATGCGGGGGTCATGTGGGTAGGATGGGGCTGACGGTGGGGTGCTGGCAGGTGCCAGGGGTCCCAGGACTCCACTGCCTGCCCCTTGCTGGGGTGGGGGGTGTTCGGCGCTGCGCCACTCTCGAATGTGCGACTCAGCACTGCCTGTCCTTCCACTTGGACCCTGTTCCCGTGGCATGGCCCGCCCTGTGCCGCGGCTCCGCTGCAATCAGGGTGTGGCACCGGGCAGCACGTGCCACAATTCCTCCTGCCTTGGAGTAGGCAGAGGTTGGGGCTCTGGAGCTGCTCCTGGCATTTGGGCTACATCCCACGATGGCAAATGGTGTCCCCATGGCTGTGCCGTAGCACTTCTTCCCCACCACCTCCCCAGGGAAGCAGTTCACTTAATTGCTAATAATTTGATTGCTTTGCTGTCAAAACCACAAGTGAGAGCAGTAAGCGCCTCCCTGCCAGTGCCTGTCCGATGTCCAAGGACGGGGAGCAAAACCACAGAGGCGGCACCGGCACAGCCCTCGCCTCGCTGCCCTGTGCTGTCAGTGGAGGCGGTGTCTCAGCACAGGGCTGGTGGGGCTGAGATGGGCACGTCCCTCTTCTCCAGACAATCACCCTGGGCGGCGCCGCACAGAGGGTCACCAGCGAAGAGACAAAGGGGGACATCCTCACCAGCTACTTGGCAGGTGCCCTGGCTGTCATGGTGGGCATCTACATAGGAGGGGGAATCTCAGGTGAGGCTGAGGAGGGGGTACCAGCTCCTGCCATCCCCCAGCTCTGAGTCCCCCAGGACCCCTTCCTCTTAGCCCCTCTCCCTGCTTGGTTGTAGGGGCCCACATGAACCCGGCGTTCACCCTCGCCATGTGCCTGACGAAGCAGTTCCCCTGGTGGAAGTTTCCCGTCTTCGTGCTCGTGGAGGCCTTGGCATCTTTCCTATCTGCCGGAGCTGTCTACGTCCTCTACTATGGTATGGGAGGGCAGCACCGGGCTGGGGAACCCCACGGCGGTGCCAGGCTGGCCAGGCTCACAGACAGGCTCTGCCTCTGCCCCACAGATGCCATCTGGCACTACAGCAATGGCACCCTTACCGTGTCCGGCCCCCGGGAAACTGCCTCCATCTTTGCCACCTACCCAGCTGACTACGTGTCTGTCGCCAACGGCTTCGTGGACCAGGTGGGTGCCACCGTCAGCTCCCCCAGCCCTCTCCAATGGTGCCGGTCCCCGTGGTGCTGAGCTGCCATGTCACCCTGCAGGTGATTGGCACGGGGGTGCTGCTAACAGGCGTCATGGGTGTCATGGACAACCGCAACAAGGGTGTCCCCAAGGGCCTAGAACCAGTGGTCATAGCTATGCTGGTGCTCTCCATCGAAGTCGCCATGGGCGCCAACTGCGGCTGCCCCCTGAACCCCACACGTGACATCGGGCCCCGGCTCTTCACCTACCTGGCAGGCTGGGGCCCGGAGGTCTTCAGGTAGGTAGAGGGAAGGGGGTGAGGTGGGGGTGGCAGAGGTGACCCCCTGCTCACCCTGCCTCCTCTCCAGCAGGGGCAATGGGTGGTGGTGGGTGCCCCTGGTGGCACCGCTGCTAGGGTCCGCCGTGGGCACATACCTGTACCAGCTCTTCGTGGCTTTCCATTACCCGGAGGAGGACGGCGATGCCCTGGAAGAGCAGGGCTCCATCGTCCTGGAGAACAAAAACATTGACCTAGACGCTGGGGTGTCATCCAAGGAGGACACTGGGGGAACAGTGCCTACCGGGTACCCCCCACCACCCCACAGCAGCAGCACGGTCCCCACTACCATCCCCCTCACACTATTAAACGAGTCCTGAGGTCATGCGGCATCTCGTCTCTAGACGTGGGTGTGCAGGGGTATGGGGGAGGCAGCGGCTCCAAGCCCCCCGCGGGGGGCAGGCCAGCCAGGCGTGGCTGCAGAGAGACCTCAGCCTGGGTGACACGCTGGTAGTGGGGGGAGTGTCCCACCGGGACCCGGGACTGCGCCCTGGTATCCCCTGTGGCTGCCTCTGGCCCTCCGGGACCCACCCGGCTCCCCGGGCCCCCCCGGAGCCGCCCCGCCGGCCGGGGCACCCGCGGGGTTGAGCTCCGGGACCCTCCGGGGTCGCGCTCGGCCGCTCCCCCGCGGCCCACACCCCGCACTTCCGCCGCCGCCCGGCGCCGCCGCGGCCATGGGGAGCTGAGGCGGCGGCAGCGGAACCGGTCCCGGCCCGGCCGGCCCGGCCCGCCGCCCGCTCCCCATGGGCTGCGGGCCGCGGGACATGGAGCGGTGCGGCCCGCCGGCCCCCGGGTGAGCGGGGCCGGGGGCGCGGTGGGGCCCGGGGAGGCCGCGGCGGGGCCCATCGGGCCCAGGAAGCCCCGGTGTGGCCGCTGCCCCGGTAACGCGGCGGGGTGGGCCCGGGCCGGCAGCGGCAGCGCGGGCCGGGCCCGGGCGGGGCCGGGCCATGACGGTGCCCCGGGAGAATGCCCGAGAAGTGGCCGCGGGTCCGCGTCCGCGGCGGGCCGGGTGGGTGCGGCGTGGGCACGGCGGAGGAGCAAGTGGGGGCCGGGGGTGCAGGGATGGGAGTGCAGGGATGCGGCCAAGCAGGACTGGGCAGGTCTGGGGATGCGGAATCTGGGGGGCTAGGGGTGCAGGGCTGTGGATCCAGAGGTGCAGCTGAGCAGGTCTGGGTGTCTGGGAGAGCAGAGATGCGGTCTAGGGGTGCAGAATCTGGATGTTCTAAACTGAGGTTGTGGGGTTGCAGATGAGCAGGGCTGGGGGTGCAGAGATGCATCCTGGGGGTGCAGGGCTGGAAGGGTCTGGCACCCCGGCAGTGCCGAGCTGGAGGAGCAGACAAACAAGACATGGGGGGGTGCAGAATCTGTGGCTCTGGGGACGCAAATAAGCAGAGGTCTAGGAGTGCGGGCCTGGGGGGCCTGGGGGTGCAGGTTTTGCTGGTGGGGAGTACAGATAAGCAGCACTGGGATTCTGCAGGTGCAGGAGTACAGGTCCTGGCATAGGCCACAGCTGGGAAGCTTCTCTGTTCCCTGGGTTCTGGGTCTCTGGGACTGGCTTGGCAGGCTCTCAGGGTGCAGGGGTGGTTGGGGTGCAGGGGGTGTCAGGGTGAAAGGGGGGTTGGGGTGCAGGGGGTGTCAGAATGCAGGGCCGGTCGGGGTTCAGGGGGTGTTCAGGGTGCACAGGACTGATGGGGCGCTCTGTTGCAGAGGAGGAGCGGCGAGTGCGAGCCAACGCGCGGGAGTACAACGAGAGGTTCCAGTATGCGGTGAGTGAGAGGGGAGCTGAAACCCCTCCCAGGGGTGTTTGGGCAAGTTTGGGGGGGCTGAGGCCTGAGTCACCCACAGGTCATGACAAAAAAATAGATATGTTATGGCATATCTATTGTTATGACAAAAAAATAGATATTTGTCCCTGAGAAATTTGTGCTGATGACATTAATGGCAAGGGAGCTGTGGGGCTAGGGGACACAGTGCGCTCTGTGTGAAGGGTTCAGCCCCTCATCCCTTATGGACCAGCTTCCAGAGGTGCTGGGGGAGGGACAGCGCTCACCTTGGCCTCCTCCTAAAGCTGGAGGTTATCCCTGGCTGTTCCAAGGCTGGTTGCAGAGAGGAATGCAGGGGGTCTGGGTTGGGGTAACCCTTGCATTGCACTGCTGGAGGAGGCAGGGCCCTGTCTGGTGACCAAGACAGAGGAATCAGCTTCCCAAGGAAGGTGCCAGAGGTAGTGCAGGGACAGGAGCTGGGAGTCCAGGCTGCTGCCCAGAGCCCCCCAAAGAGCACAGTGAGCCACAGCCCTGCCTTCCAGAGCAAGGGTGGGGGTTATGGGGCCTCGACAGCCTGTGAACTGCCTTCTTGCCCCATCCGTCCCCAGAGCAACTGCATCAAGACCTCAAAGTACAACATTGTCACCTTCCTGCCTGTCAACCTCTTTGAGCAGTTCCAGGAAGTAGCCAACACCTATTTCCTCTTCCTCCTCATCCTGCAGGTGAGTGCTGGGGGGGCAGGCAGAGCTCCTCACACTCTCCTTCCCTACCTGGGCATCCAGGAGGGCTCCAGGCACGCCCACTCCTTGGAATAGTGGAAGTTTGGCACCCTTGAGCAGGGGCGGCATGGGCCTGGGGCTGGCCAGTTCTCCTGTAATTCCTGCTCCCTGTCCCCAGCTGATCCCACAGATCTCTTCACTCTCCTGGTTCACCACCATCGTGCCTTTGGTTCTTGTCTTAACCATCACAGCTGTCAAAGACGCCACTGATGACTATGTGAGTGATTTCCCTCACAGGGGGTTGGGACCCTGGTGTGGGGGTGCAGGGCCGTGGCATTTGCAAGGGGGGGGGCACAGGAGCCCCTCCCCAAGGAGCTGATGCTGCTGTCTCTTCCCCCCACTTCCAGTTCCGCCATAAAAGCGACAACCAGGTGAACAACCGGGAGTCTCAGGTGCTGATCGGTGGAGTGTGAGTGTCACAGGGATGGGGCAGTGGGGAGGGGTCCGGGGCCCTGCGGGATGTGGTACAGGGCAGTGGGCAGGGCAGGGCTCCTGCCTGATTCCAGTCCACTGTCCCTGCACAGCCTCCGGCAGGAGCAGTGGATGAATGTACGTGTTGGAGACATCATCAAGTTGGAGAATAACCAGTTTGTGGCGGTGAGTGCGGCCCTGAGATGAGGATGGTCCCAGCTGGGTGGCATATAGGGATTGCATAATGACATGGTGCTGCACCCACTTTGTCTTTGTGCTCCTCCATCACCTCCTGGGGTGGGGACATCAGGGACTCCTCATCCTGGAAGCTGTGTTTAGGTTGGAGAGTCAGAGCCTTGTTTGAACTCTGGGAATCTGGGTGCTTGGGGCAATGATGGCCAGGCCTGGGTGCAAGGGATGGGCTGGCGACGGCCTTTGCCGAGGCTTCAGGGACCCTGCTGACATCCAGGGGCCAGGAGCTTCCCTGGGGAGGGTGTCGTGGAGCCCTGGTGTCGGTGCAGCCCTTCACATATCTCTCCCAGCAGGCCGATCTACTTCTTCTCTCCAGCAGCGAACCCCATGGGTTGTGCTACATAGAGACTGCAGAGCTGGACGGGTGGGTGCCCCTGCTCACCTTGCAGGGCCGGGGGAAGGCAGCAGCTGGGAGTGAGAGAGTGGGCTGTGGGCAGAGTAGGAGCTGCCAGGCAGCACCTGCCAAGGCCCTCCCTGCCAGGCTGTCTCTAATGTAGTGCCTCCTTGCCTGCAGAGAGACCAACATGAAGGTGCGCCAGGCCATACCTGTCACCGCGGAGCTGGGGGACACCAGCAAGCTGGCTCGCTTTGACGGTGAGTGCCCGCGACCAGCCCTCTGCCACGGGGCAGCCCCCACGTTCCTTCCTCCACCACCCTGGAGAAACCAGGATCAGCCACACGGCGTTGTCCTGCGGCTTGAAGCAGATCTCTGGGGCACCTGGGATGGTGCTGGGGCACTGGATGCAGCTGGCCATGTGAAGAAGGCAAGGCCCAGCTGAGCCATCCCCTGCACCCAGGCGAGGTGGTCTGTGAACCCCCCAACAACAAGCTTGACAAGTTTGGTGGGACGCTGTACTGGAAGGAGAACAAGTACCCCCTGAGCAACCAGAACATGCTGCTGCGAGGCTGTGTCCTGCGCAACACCGAGTGGTGCTTTGGCCTCGTCATCTTCGCAGGTAGGCTGAGGCAGCAGCTGCAGCTGCACTGCACAGAGGGGAGGAAGAGACCCCCCTGATGCCTTCCTGCTCCCCAGGGCCCGACACAAAACTGATGCAGAACAGTGGCCGGACCAAATTTAAGCGGACAAGCATTGACCGGCTGATGAACACACTGGTGCTCTGGGTATGCAGAAGGCAGATCTTGGGAGCCCTGGCTCTGGCCCAGTCAGGGCTCTGATGTCCTGTCCTGTCCTGTCCTATCCCCAGATCTTTGGGTTCCTGGTGTGCATGGGAGTGATCCTGGCCATTGGCAATGCCATCTGGGAGCACGAGGTGGGCGTCTGCTTCCAGATCTACTTGCCCTGGGACGAGGGGGTGCACAGTGCCTTCTTCTCTGGCTTCCTCTCCTTCTGGTCTTACATCATCATCCTCAACACTGTGGTGCCCATCTCACTCTACGTGAGGTAGGGCAGGGGCCGAGGGGCTGGTTTGGGGGGTATGTGAGGAATTAGGGGTGCCCTCTGGGGGGGGGAACACAGGGATGGAGACCCACAAGCAGAGCTGTGTGTGCAGGGTGGGTGTGAGCTGCTGTCTTGGTGACAGGTCATGTCTGCCTTCAGGGACACCCCAAGACCTGAGACCCCACGGGTCCCTCGGGGTCCTCCCGGCTGTGTGTGTCTGGCTGCTCGTCTCTCTCTACCCTGGCTGCACGCTGGTTATTTTGCTCTGCCCTCCTACAGCTCCCAGGCTCCTGTACAGTCCCCTTCTCTCTCTCTTTTAATTTCTCTCTCTTTTCGTTCCCCAGCATGGGTTCTGTCACCCTTAGCCCCGAGGTAAGAACGTGTCACCCCCACCCCTCCCACTAGCTCATTGCTGTCTGCCCTGGGGGCTGGGGAGGGCGTTTGGGGTGCGTAGGTATGTGAGGTGCCTGGGGAGCCCAATGGGCTGCCCCCTTGGTGCCAGGCCCCGTCTTGGCGGTGGCTGTTGGTAGGAGCGGGTGCGGGCCAACCCTGGGGAAGGGCACCCTGGGTGCCGGGGTGCCCCGAGCACTGAGGGTCTGGGATGGGGCTGTGTGTGCCCGTCACTGGCTCAGCACAGTGTGCTGCCCTGCCCCAGTGACACCCGGCCGTGCCCCTCACAGCGTGGAGGTGATCCGGCTTGGGCACAGCTACTTCATCAACTGGGACAAGAAGATGTACTGTGCCAAGCGCCGGACACCAGCTGAGGCCCGGACCACCACCCTCAATGAGGAACTGGGGCAGGTGGAGTACATCTTCTCTGACAAGACTGGCACCCTCACCCAGAACATCATGGTCTTCAGCAAGTGCTCTGTGAACGGGCACAGCTACGGTGAGCGCTGGTTGCTTGGAGCATGCTGGGGCTGCCCTGGGGGTGGGGGTGCACTGACTCCCCTCCTGCAGACCTTTTGGGGCAGCCAGGGGACAAGAGGGCTCAGCTGGAGCATTGTGGGGCTACTGCTGTCCCGTGGCCCCCGTGGGTGTGCCTGCTGGTGGGGCAGCAGTGTTGGGTCCCTGTCATGGTTAACTCAATACCATGGTTCACAGGTGACGTGCAGGATGTGCTGGGTCACAAGGCGGAGCTGGGAGAGGTGAGGATGCCACCAGGTTGGTGTCTGCCCACGCCACGTGCCACAGGGGAGTAACCCTGTCCCTGCCCCCACCAGAGGCCAGAGCCAGTCAACTTCTCCTTCAACCCACTGGCGGACCCGCGGTTCCAGTTCTGGGACTCCAGCCTGCTGGAAGCCGTCAAGCTGGGAGACCCCCACGTGCACGAGTTCTTCCGCCTGCTCTCACTCTGCCACACCGTCATGTCCGAGGAGAAGAGCGAAGGTGGGCATGGGGCAGGACCTGTCCCTGTAGGGCGTGGGACACTGGCACTGATCCCCGTGCTGTCCCCAGGGGAGCTGTTGTACAAGGCACAGTCCCCGGACGAGGGAGCGCTGGTCACGGCTGCCAGAAACTTTGGCTTCGTGTTCCGGTTCCGCACACCCAAGACCATCACGGTGCACGAGCTGGGTCAAGCCATCACCTACCAGCTGCTGGCCATCCTGGACTTCAACAACATCCGCAAGCGCATGTCTGTCATCGGTGAGGTGCTGGGTGTGCGTGGCACAGGGACTGGGAAGGCTGCGTGGGGTTGTGGTGCAGGGCTCGGTGCGGTGTGCTGGGGGACCAGTCCCATGCTAACGGGGATGTGACTGTGGGGTGATGGCTGGGGGGTCAGAGCGGGACCTGCTCCTTCACCCCTAAGCCAGGCATCCTGTCCCCTGCACCCTGTAGTCCGCTGCCCTGAGGGCAAGATCCGGCTGTACTGCAAAGGCGCTGACACCATCCTTCTGGAGCGGCTGCACCCCATCAACCAGGACCTGACCAGCGTCACCGCCGACCACCTCAATGTGTGTGGGGCAGGGTCCTGGGGGCAGGGTGGGGAGGGAAGAGTGGCTGCCCAGGAGCACCGAGCCATGCTTGTGCCCTGTCCTAGGAACACTGTCAGGGTCTACCAGTCCTCCCAGATCTGACCACTTGCAGGAGTATGCTGCCGAGGGGCTGCGGACACTGGTGCTGGCTTACAAAGACCTGGAGGAGAGCTACTACAGGGACTGGTCTGAGCGTCTGCGCTGGGCTGGCAGTGCCTCTGAGGCCCGTGAGGATTGCCTGGCTCGGCTCTACGACGAGGTGGAGCACGATATGATGGTAGGTGGGATGGGGACTGAGGAGTGAATGGTGACTGGGGGCAGTCCCTGTTTACCTCCTGCCTGTTTGGGTCCCCCAGCTGCTCGGAGCAACAGCCATTGAGGACAAACTGCAGCAGGGGGTCCCTGAAACCATCGCCATTCTGACGCTGGCCAACATCAAGATCTGGGTGCTGACGGGGGACAAGCAGGGTGAGGCATGGCTGGGGAGGGGTCTGGGGCTGGCTGGAGATGAGGACGTTTAGGGGCTGGATCCCACCTGCCTGGGGGCTGGTGGGATGGACACTCTCTCCTGAGCCAACCCTGGTTCAGCCCCTGATTTCCTGTCCCCAGAAACAGCTGTGAACATTGGCTACTCCTGCAAGATGCTGACAGATGACATGACAGAGGTGTTCGTGGTCACAGGCCACACTGTGCTGGAGGTGCGAGAGGAGCTCAGGTGAGGGTCGAGGGGCAGAGGACACAAACGCGGCTAGTGTGGGGCACAGCTACAACTGGGGGAGCTGGAGATATGAAAGTGCCCTGAGTCGGGGCCCCATGGCCCCTATCCCTCCTCTCTCCTCAGGAAAGCCCGAGAGAAAATGATGGATGCATCGCGCTCTGTGGGCAATGGCTTCTCCTACGAGGAGAAACTCTCCTCCTCCAAGCTCACTTCTGTGCTGGAAGCCATTGCAGGCGAATATGCCCTGGTCATCAATGGGCACAGCCTGGTAGGGCTCTGGGAGCACCAGGCAGGACAGGGCCCTGTGCCCAGCTGCGGGCTGTGACCTCACTGTCCCCTGCTCTCCTTGCAGGCCCATGCACTGGAGGCAGACATGGAGGTGGAATTCCTGGAGACAGCGTGTGCCTGCAAGGCTGTTATATGCTGCCGTGTCACACCCTTGCAGAAAGCCCAGGTGGTGGAGCTGGTGAAGAAGTACAAGAAAGGTGTGACCTTGGCCATTGGTGATGGGGCCAATGACGTCAACATGATCAAGAGTAAGACATGGGGTCTGGGGGACCATGGGAGGGACAGGGCCCCCCTTGCACCACCCTGAGGCCTATGGCAGCCTCTGTCCTCACCCTTCTGTGCCCCAAAGGAACACAGTCCCTGTGCTGGGGTTGCCACTCTTGTACCCTGTGCTCCTGGCAGCCCCCTCCTCACTCCAATCTCTCTTTCTTCTGCAGCTGCCCATATTGGGGTGGGCATCAGCGGGCAGGAGGGCATCCAAGCCGTGCTGGCCTCTGACTACTCCTTCTCCCAGTTCAAGTTCCTGCAGCGCCTTCTCCTGGTGCACGGGCGCTGGTCCTACCTGCGCATGTGCAAGTTCCTTTGCTACTTCTTCTACAAGAACTTTGCCTTCACCATGGTCCACTTCTGGTTTGGCTTCTTCTGCGGCTTCTCGGCGCAGGTGAGTTGGTGGCTTCTCACACTCAGAGCTGGAGAGGGTTTGCCTGCGGGACCCCTTGGCTCAAAAGCAGGTCCTGATCCTTGAGCTCCCCTGGGGACTCATCCTGAGCCAGCAGGCACAGCCCAGGATCCAGCGTGCAGTGGGTGCGAGGAGCCCATGTCAGGGTGGGCAACTCCAGGGGGCTGGGGGCGGCTCTCCTGTCCCTGCAGGTGTGGGCACATGGACTTTGGGGCTGGGTGGGGCACAGGGTGGGCAGGTATCATGCCCCCCTGAGCGCTCTGTTCCATGCAGACCGTGTACGACCAGTACTTCATCACACTGTACAACATTGTCTACACGTCGCTGCCCGTGCTTGCCATGGGTGTCTTTGACCAGGTATGGTGGGGGGCAGTGAGAGGGTCTGTGGGTGTGTGAGGAGCTGGCCCCACTCCCCTTTGTGCCCCCCTTGTGGGAAGAAGGGCTGCCTGGGTGCCCAGGCCAGGCTGTCCTTGTCCCTCTGTGGACCGTAGCCTGCCTGCGACTAAAGGGAGGTGCCCAGAGCGTCCTGTTCCCCCAGGATGTACCAGAGCAGCGGAGCATGGAGTACCCCAAGCTTTATGAGCCTGGGCAGCTGAACCTGCTCTTCAACAAGCGGGAGTTCTTCATCTGCATCACCCAGGGCATCTATACATCTGTCCTCATGTTCTTCATCCCCTACGGCGTCTTCGCTGATGCCACCCGTGACGACGGTGCCCAACTGGCTGACTACCAGTCCTTTGCCGTCACCGTTGCCACCTCCCTTGTGATTGTTGTCAGTGTGCAGGTAGGGATGTGGCTGCTCAGCCCCAGTCCCTTGGGGCACCTTGGGCATCCCCTTGCCCTACTTCCTCCTGCATCCCTCCAGATTGGGCTGGACACAGGATTCTGGACAGCCATCAACCACTTCTTCATCTGGGGTAGCCTGGCCACCTACTTCGCCATCCTCTTCACCATGCACAGTGACGGCCTCTTCCGAATGTTCCCCAACCAGTTCCGCTTTGTGGGTGAGTCCCTGGAGGGCTGCCCTGTGCCCCCAACCACAGCCGGGTGCTGCCCCAGCCTGGCTCTCGCTGGACTCATGCTCCCCCCCCAGGCAACGCACAGAACACGCTAGCCCAGCCCACAGTCTGGCTGACCATCGCTCTCACCACTGTGGTCTGCATCATGCCTGTTGTGGCCTTTCGCTTCCTCAAGCTGGACCTGAAACCTGAACTCTCGGACACGGTGAGAGTGCGTGGCCATGGGGACGGGGACGTGGGGCCCTGTCCCTGGGGCCAGATGTCTCCACAGGTCCCTGACCCTGTCCCTGTGTCCCAGGTGCGCTACACTCAGCTGGTTCGGAAGAAGCAGAAGACGCAGCACCGGTGCGTGCGGCGCGCAGGGCGTGTGGGCTCACGCCGCTCCGGCTACGCCTTCTCCCACCAGGAGGGATTCGGAGAGCTAATCATGTCTGGCAAGAACATGCGGCTCAGCTCCTTGGCGCTCTCTAGCTTTGCCTCCCGCCCCAGCACCAGCTGGATCGAGACCCTGTGGAAGAAGAAGGGCAGTGAGGGCAGCGGTGCCAGCAGTCCCAGTGGCACAGCTGACAAGACCCTCAAGGTGTGAGGGTGGAGGGTCACATCCCCTCCAGTGCAGCCAGGGCCCCCTTTCCTCTCCCCCTGACTCTGGGGAGGGCAAAGCCCTTTGTCGAGAGGGTCCCATGGTGGGAGCACAGGTCATGTGGGCATCAATGCTGAGGTTTGGAGGAGTCTGGACTATCACACTGTAGCCAAAAAATATACTCTTTCCCTCCCTGGGGCGGATGGATGGACAGACTGACCTCACCCCCCATTCACTCCTCTGTCAGTATTCACTTCCACGGAGTGCAAATGCCCCATCACATACGAATGTATCCATGCCAGAGGTGGAGGGGCCTGGGGGGCCTGTGGCCCCCTCGCCATCCCTCACCCACGTGTCTTCTTTTTATATAAACAAAGGGAAAAAACACCCACAAAAAAATAGCAACCAAAAAAAAATATCAACCAAAAAAAAAAAAAAAAAGGAAGGAAAAGCCCTCCGAGTTTACAGAGCAACTTGTTTCTTGTCCAATTGGGTAGGAGAGAATGGGCAGGGGAGGAAGGTCACCCTCCTTGTCCCTCCACCTCGGGGTACAGCAGGACGGTGGGTGCCGGGTGGGAAAGGGGAAGCGTTCCCGTGCTACAGGGACTGGAGTGTTGGCGGCTGCCGTGATTCACTCCCACGCGGGGTCTTGCGCAACCCTCGGCCTCTGCTTCCTCCCTCCTCCTTGCCAGCTCCCGCGGGACTGAGCGCTCCTGGGCTGTGGGTGGGCACTGGGGGATCCCCCAGGGGTCTCCGAGGGTGTTGGGGTCCCGGAGATGCAATACCAAAGATGAGCCTGTTGAGGCGGGTGTTGGTGAGGTCTGGAGGGGGTTTAGGGGCTGTTTGGGGTTATTTCGGTGGAGGGGTGGATAATTTATTACTCGTTTCTGTGTGGCGGAATTGTATCATTTTATGGTTCCACTGAGAAAAAAAAGAACCAAAAGCCAGCTTTTTTTTTTATTTATTTAAAAAAGAAAATAATATTCTGAGCAGCTTCTGCCGTGTCCTGTGTCCGGTGGAATACCGGGGGAGGGGATCCGGGGATGGGAGGGGGCGGTGGCGGCTCTTGTCCCGCCCCCCGGTGCCGGCCCCTGTCCCCGCCCCCACCGGGCGCACGTGCCGCCCCCGCCGCCTCCGCCCGGTTTCAGCAAGCGCGGCACCGGCGGCTCGCTGATGTTTTTCTGCCCGGGACCGGGAGCATGTTGAGGCCGCCTGGGCCGCTCCTCCTCCCCCGCCTCCTCCTCCTTCTCCTCCTCCAGTTCGCCGCCGCCGGGCGGCCCTGTGGCCCCTCCGGTGAGTGCTACCGGCACCGTGCAGGGTGGGGGTGGAGAACCCGACCCTCTCCGGGTACCGGGGCCCCACGGGTCCGGACACGGCGAGGAGACACATGCGGTTCCCTACCTGTCCCGCAGGAGCCTGGCGGGTGGGAATACCGGGCACCCCTGGGGGTGCTGGAGAGGGGGGTTAAGGTGGGTGCTGGGGCTGGGGGACTGTGTCCTGAGTGCTGTGTCCTGGTGCTGAGTGGGTGCTGGATGCCCTATGGTGTGTCCTGGGTGCTGTGTCCTGGGTGCAGGGTGCGTTCCCAGCAGCAGGAGCCGAAGGGAACAGCAGGTCCACCCCGGCCGTTGACCTTTGGAGGGAGCTCAGGCCTGACTGGGGCTGCCAGCCAGCGCTGTCGCTTAACCCCTCCGGCACCACCCGCCCCAGTCTGCCACCTCCCTGAGCCGTGCGCTCCACCGCCAGACCCCTCAATACACACCGCGTTTGATGCTGCGGTGCCGTCCCTAACTGGGGTGACGGTGGGTCTGGTGGCCACTCCGCGTGGTCCTGGGTGCCACCACTCCGTGGGGGAACTGCTGCCTCTCTCCAGCTCAGTGCCTTGACCCTGAGCAGCCACTGGACGTGGGGAGCAGATGGTGGGGTGCCCCCCTCATCTGGGGACACTCACTGCACTCGAGGTCTCATCTTGATCACCTGACCCCCTCTTGCCCTCACAGGACTGTCGCGGGACGTGGTGTTGGGCCGCCTGGGAGCCAACATCACTTTGATCTGCAGGGACGAGGTGCCCGCAAATGTCACAGTGCAGTGGCAGGTGGAGGAGCGCGGAGCAGCAGTGCCGGGAGGCCGTGGACGGCGGCTGGCGGAGGGCAACGTGCTGCTCCTGCGGTGGCTGCGCTACGAGGACTCGGGGCGCTACGTCTGCTCTGTGGGGAGCCGCCTACTGCGCTCCCTGCTGCTGCTGGTGGAAGGTGGGTCCACACCGGGGTAGGGATGTCCCTGGCAGCATTACCCGCTATGGCCCCTGTCCTTCAGCACCTCCTTGCTTTGCAGAGCCCCTCGAAACCCCCCAAGTGTCCTGCTACCGACGGAGCCATGACAAGGATGTCCTGTGCGAGTGGCCACAGCGGACGAAGCCATCCCCGGGGACACGGGCAATGCTCTGGGTGAAGCGTAGGTGAGCCACTGTCGCTGCATCCACCATGGGCTGGGACCCCACAGCACAGAATGTGTCCCCATGGACCCTTCCTCCAGTGCCATCTGGAACGCCACAGCTCAAGATGCTTCCCTCCCTTCAGACCCTTTCCCTAGCAACTACTGGGAGCTGGGACCCCACAGCATGGGATGTGTTCCTTCCCCACTGACCCCTTCCCCCATGTTGCCTGGGACCTCGTGGCATGGAACATTTCCATCCCCACAGAGCCTTTCCCCTGTGCTGCCTGGGACTCCACAGCATAGGATGCATCCCCTGCAGCTGCCCCATGCCTGGTTTGGTGCGTGCTGCAGCCCCCACTGAGCTGTGGCCCCACAGGTTCACGGCTGAGAACGCCACAGAGCAGCGGTGCCGCTACTTCTCCAAGGCACGGAAGTTTGTTTGCCGGGTGAAGGTGCCACCTGGCACCGAGGATACCAAACACCTTGTGGTGTCCACATGTGTCAGCAACAGCGCCAGTGGCTTGGCCGGCAAAGACAAGATCATCACCCTCAGCAGTGTCCGTGAGTGCTGCCCCTCTTGCTGGGGGCTGGGGTGGCCGAGGGCACAGTGCCAGGCCCTGAGCCCCCCCTTCCCCAGCAGTGAAGCCTGATCCCCCCCTCAATGTGACGGTGGAGGCGCTGGAGAAGGCGCCTCAGTGGCTGCGGGTCAACTGGTCCTACCCCTTGTCCTGGGACCCCCGTTTCTACTGGCTCCGCTTCCAGGTCCGCTACCGCCCTGAGCCTGCCCCAGCCTTCATGGAGGTGAGACCCCTCTCCCTAGAATCCAGCTGTTGCTGGTCCCTGTCCAGGCTGTCCCCAGCCCCATGTCCTCTCTAGGTGGATCAGGTGACGACAACGTGGCTGGACATTCGTGATGCATGGCGGGGGACGAAGCACGTGGTGCAGGTGAGGGCGCAGGATGAGTTCGGCCATGGCACATGGAGCGAGTGGAGTCGGGAGGCTGTGGGCACCCCCTGGACAGGTACGAGTGGGACACAGAGCCCTGAGGGTGGAGGCTCTGTGTGGGGTCCCCCAGCCTCATGCTCCCCTCTCGTCTTGCAGACCCCAGGGACTTCACCTCTGAAAAGGGACCTTTCAGCTCACAGGTGGGATGGCCTCAGCCCTGGGGGCTACCACATACTCCTGTCCCCATGTGGGACAAGGGCTGCCCCATGCCATTGTGCACCCCTGCTTCCTTTTGCAGTTCCCCTTGGAAGATGACAGCTATGAGGTGACACTGCCCCCAGAGCTCTTCTGGGAGGACCGTGCTGATGGTGCTGATGGTGAGGAGGGGTTCCTGGGTTGGGGGTGGGGGTCTGGGACACACCCAGGTCCCCCATCCATGCAGTGAGCCCATCCATTCTCTCCATGTCAGGGTCTGTCATGGAACCCAGTGCCCACCCTGTGGCATCCCCCTATACCTTCCTGGTGGCCGGAGGGAGCCTGCTCCTGGGCATTGCCCTCTTTGTTGGCATCGTGGTGAGGTGAGTGCTGGGGAGTGCCTGGCCAGGGGGCTCTGTCTGGCCCCCCTGACCCAGACTCTCTGCCCTTGCAGGTACAGGCAGATGTGGTGGACAGGCAGGCAGCGGGGGACCAAGCCGGAGGGCGAGGGGCAGCATATGCTGGTCCCCCTGGGCCTCCCTAGACCCCCACTCAGTGACACCCCCCTGCTCTCATGCCCCACCCCCACGGCCCCTGGAACGCTCCACATCACCCACTTGGACTATTCCTCTTCAAGGCAGTAGCCAGGGGCTGAATGTGCTGGCAGGTGCTTTGGGGGTCAGGTGGGGGTTGCTCGCCCCAGGATTCCCAGGGCTGTGATGTGGCTCTGGGAGCAGCTCCCCCCACTATCCGGTGGCTCTGTGGCTGGGAGCAGCCTCTGAGGAGGGGAATCAGTGCCACCCCTGTGGAGAAGCAGTTGGGGGGGAGCCCCAAACTGGGTCCTGGAGGGCACCTTCAGAGCCATGGCTAAGCTGGGATGGGCGGTGGTGGCAGCACTGGAAACAGGGCTGTGCCGGAGCGTGGGAGCCGGCCCGGGGTCAGGTTTGAGGATCCCAGGGGAAGGGCCTAGTCCCTGCAGTGCCACAGGGGTCAGGGAGGGAGGGGGGCCTGGCTGGATCAGCCCCATACTTCTGCTCTGGGCCCCCCGGGGCTCCTTTTTAAAGCATATGTTGGGGAAATAAGACAATGTGGCTCCAATAAATGCTTTGGATTTGTACCGGAATGGATGCTGTGGGGGGGAGTAATGGAGGGATCACTGCAGCGCCCCCTTGCCTGGGAGTGACTCCAGTGTGGGGGGGTGAGAGTGGGCTGTGTAACCCCAGTCCATGCACCCTCTGCCTTGCTGTGCCTCCCAACTGCACTGTGTACCCCACAGTGAGCTCCCTGTACCTCCAGTGCCTCCCAGGCTGTACCCCCTGTGCTGTGCACCCCCTCCGCCACAAACGCCATGCCATGAACCCTCAGGCCATGCCCCCTCTTCTATGCAGTGCCCACCCCACACTGGGTTGTGCAACGCCCCAGAGAGCTGCAGCTGCACCCGGGGAGGAAACCGCAGGGTGAGGGTAGCGGGTGTTCAGGCGCCCTGGGGACAGCGTTCCCCTTCCCCTCCACCGGCCCCCTGCTATAAAAAGCCTAGCAGGATGCAGATGTGTGGCTGGGGGAGCCCCAGTACCCCTGGCCCCCGAAACTGTGGCGACTCTTCCTGGCACGAGCCCCATCCCAGCCATCTGGGACTGCTGGCCCTTCTCAGCCAACAAATTTATTTTACTATATCGTTACACATCCCAGTCTCGCTGTGGTCCCCCACCCTGGGCAGCCCCGTGGCCTGTCAGCTCTGGCACAGGGTGGTCAAGATTTGTCCTGGCAAAATCCCAACAGCCCTGCTGGAGTCCAGGATCAAGGTCATGACTTGACAGAGGCATTCCCTCTGGACCCTCCCCGTGGCATGTGGCCATCTCCGTGGGCAGACCTGCCCCGTATGACAGAAGTGGAGGTCGCAGATCAGTCTGGGGGGGCATCAGCGGGCACTAATGCAGCTTGCAGTGGACAGGGTGCAACAGGGCCATGTGCTCGGCCCCCTTGAAGGGCAGCTTCTCAGTGGAGTAGTAGTGCACGACCTCAGGGATGCTGGCGAAGACGCCGCTGGCCTGGCTGAGCGTGTACTTGTTGTCCTTGGTCTGGGCTACAATGATGTGGACGCAGCCCTGGCTGGTCCTGGGCGGCCAGCGGGCATCAGCTTTGCCGCCGGCCCCCCGGCGCCCGTCTGCCCCGCGGCCGCATCCACCCCTGTTTGTTCCCGTCCTGCTCTGATTGTTTCAGCTCCAGGGGCTCCACTTCCTCAGGAAGGAAACGCCACTGGCGCTCCTGACAATGTGCCGGGGAGGGGTACACGCCACCCCCCACCCCCCACCCCAGTGCCACACCAGGATGCCTGGGGTTCCTCCGTGGGTCTGGGGGTGCCATACCATGGGATCTGGGTGCTCCCTTCCCATCAGGGCTCGGGTGTGAACAACCAGTGGGGAGGCTCTCGATGCAGCATCCCCCAGGGTGGGACCCCTCGCCGCATCCCCCCAGGACGGGACCCCTCCCCCCGCCGGGACCGGGACCCCCCCGACTCTGTGGCCACCCTGACACTCACTTCAGCGCGATGGAGTACTTGCCGCTGCCGGTCTCGCTGGTGCGCACCAGGTACCCTGCCTCCCGGCACGTCTGCAGCCGGCTCTCTGCCTCAGCCCGCGTGATGGCCCCGTGGTACCATCTGTGGGGGGACACCGAGGAAGGGATGCTGAGCCAAGGCAAAGCCCTGGGCACCCTGCCCCCCCACCCACCGTTTCTCACACATGGCTTGGCCTTGCAACTCACGGCTGTTTTTCCAGTGCCAGGGCAGGGTCCACCCGCTCCCCCTCACTGTGCTCGGCCCCCACCGGCTTCAGCATCTTGGGGGTCCAGCTCTTCTGGCGTAGGTGCTGCCGCAGCGTCTCCTCTTTGGGACGTTCCGAGCCCTCAAACTGGACTGGGAAGGATGAGATATGAGCCTCCAAAACCCCTTCTAGGCCACTTCCACTTCTAATCCCCACCCTTAGCTCTGTCCCTATCCCCAGCCCTGGCACCTTCCCCAGTCCCAGTTCCATCCCCTTCTCCATCCACGTACCTGTTCCCATCTGGTCCAACCCCATGAAAAGGGACATTTTCAGCTACATCTGGTTGCTCAGAGCCCCATCCAACTTGACCTTGCAGACAGACATCTACCACCTCTCTGGGCAACCTGTGCCAGTGCCTCGCCACCCTCCAGCACAAAAACCTTCTTATATCTAATCTAAATTTCCCCTTATAGTTTAAAACCATCCCCTCTTGTCCTGCTAAAAAGTCTGTCCCTATCCCTGTCCCTGTTGTCATCCCCATTCCCATCCCATGCCTGTCCCCTACCTGACAATGCTTTGACAATCTGCTCCTTCTTCCACTCCCAGGGCTGCTCGTACTCTCCCGCTGGGCGCTCGTCGTTCTCGGGCAGGCGCCCGTCACTGGCCCACACCCTGTGCTCCAGGGTCCCCCCAGCCACCCCCTCCCCAGGCTCATAGGGGGTGTCGTAGAGCTGTGACCCCTTCCCTGCCACCTCCTTGCCCCCCAGCCACTTGGCCGGCTCCAGTTTGGCACCCCCCTCCCCCGACTCGCCAGGACTGTCCAGCAGCAGGATAGTTTTGACCAGGGGATCCTTGGAGCCCCGACGACGGATTTCTGTGGGGAAGAGGGATGGTGGGTCAGGATGTGTCCCCTTAGACCCCCCCACTCCCAATACCAGCCCTTGGAGAGGGATGTGCACAGGGGACCCCATACTGGGAACGCCCCACTGGGAACCAGCTTGGGAGGAGCAGGAGCAGGAAGGGGCCCATCCTCATGGCGCCTGGTCTGCTGTCGCGGCCCTGGCGCCACAGGCACAGGCCCACAGTGGTGGGGCCAGCTGAGTCCTGCAGGGGCAGGATGCTACACCCCAGGCTGGAGCCCAGCCATGAGGGAGGCCACCCCGGGGGGCTCGCCCCTCCTGGCCCCCTGCTTCTCCCCACGGCACCAGTCTCCGCCAAACAGCCTGGGCTGCCCCGCACGGAAAAAAACCATCAGCAGCAAATCTTTTATTTCCAGCTTCCGGCCCAGTCAGTTCCTGTTGTTGTGGCCAGCTGGACGGTCGCCACGCCGGCCCTGAGGGGTCACCATCTGGGGGGCATGACCACGGAGGAGTCTCAGGGGCGGTACCCCCACCCTGGGATGACTGGGGGGCACTGAGAGCTTTGCGCTGGCCATACGCACCCATCAGGCGGTGGCAGCAGGTCATGGCAGCGGTCAAGGGGCCGGCGGGCACAGGTCAGTGTCCGGCCTTGCTCCCACTCCTTATCTGGTCCCACACAGCCACAGGAAGCAGCGAGCAGCTTTCCTGTTCCTGAAGCCTCCCGTGCCGGGTGGCTCCAAGGGCTGCTGTGCACTCCCGGCTGGGGAGTGGTGCCAGCTGCAGTGTCGTGGCATGGCTCAACATGGCACGTACCTGTGATCATCTGCTGGGCATCGTAGGGCTCCATGTACCCATCATTCTCCCCCAGGCGCTCGGCGTCCCGTTGCCCCTTGGTGCGCTTGGCGTCATAGGGGTCAGCATAGTCCTCCAGGATGATGACCTGATGAGGGGACAGGCACTGCTGGCCTCAGGGCAGGGGACCCAGAAGGGGGGGCAGGGATGCCACTGGCACAGAGCTGGGAACAGGACACTGGGGTCCCCAGGGGAAGATGGTGGTTCCTCTGGGGTAAATGGAGCCATGTCACAACCCCAGGAGGGTGCATCCAGTGGCACCTTTGGGTGGGGGCAGTGTCCATCCCTATGCACCTCAGCAGTGGGGGGAGGAGCCTGGGGGGAACTCTGGGACCCTTTTGTGTGACAGCAACGCCCCCTCCCCCTGCCCCCCATCTAGCTCCCAGTCCCCCAAAGGCTGTGCAGGGGTGAAAGTCTAGCTTCCCAGAAAAGCTTTACATCAGCCTTTGTTCAACCAGCAGCCGAGTGCTGGGGTCAGGGTAGGATGGGACAAATGGGACGTGGCGAGGGGGCCCAGCGACCCCTCTCACACTTGTCTGGCTGATGAAGGGTAGTTGGGATGAAGGCAGCTTTGAAGGGATTTGAAAGCAGTGGAGCCGAGTGGGATGAAAGGCCGGAGTCAGCGGGCTAATGAGTCAGAAGCCCAAAGTGGTTAAAGCTGCCACTGCTGCGGGCTCCCCACAGTGCGCCTCCCCCTCTCCCACCTCGGTCCCTGCCTTACCGTCTCTGTCTTGGGGGTCTTTCCCTTGTCCTGCTCGGGGGCAGGCAGGCCAGCGGGCAGGGGGCCAGGGTATCCCTTCCCATTCTTCTCGGGAGCCTCCACTTTGATGAGGCGGTTGATGTAGGCGCCGCAGGTTTTGGGGGGTCCCTCTGGCATGCCTCCCTCCGCTCGAGAATTCTTCCTCATCTTCCCAGTGGCGGCCTGGAGCAGACCCTGCAGGTTGTCCCGTGACAGCCGGCTGCCCCCTTCC